AAGGCGCGGTGGCATGTTCATTTATTTCGAATTGCATCGAGAAACGCAGTAAGTAAAATAATTACGTTTTAATTTCAGCTTATCTGAAGTTATTTTTTTTTTTTTTCAAGAGTTTGGAACTCTGATATTTTATTAAAAATATAAAATTATGAAATCATATTACATCTTTAATATGTCTATAATAGAAATTTTTATAGGCAAATTATTGAATCTATATCTAATATATAATACGATAGAAATAATTTTGAAAATTAATATAATCATGCAATTAGTAGAAACTGTAAAAAAGATTAGAAAATATTAATGGGATTTTTCGATTCTTTGATTCTTCAAGTGAAAATCCTATTTCTCTTGCAATTAATATCTTTTACAATTAATTACTAGCATAAAAATCTTGATACCATTTAAAAATATTAACAATTAAAATAAATTATTTCCAAATATTTGGGTTACAATTTTGTAAATTTCTTACTAGTTTAGGATAAAATCAATCAACCAAGTTGAGTTTTCAATCATCTTATCTAATCTTGTTAAGTGTGGTATATATATCGTATACGTTAAGGATTAAATTAACTCATCATGGACTCGTATTTCGAGTTAATGGATCATTAGGCATAACTTTTGATCGTATTCCATCGCAGTCTATGTATCAAGTTCTTCAGATGTAAGTTTCGTGTGAAAATATGGTGTTGAGATACTCTTTCTTCTTGCATCCTAAAACTAACCTCAAATTTCCAATCTTTTTTAGATTCCCAAGAATATTCATCGCGATTATTTTTAATTGAAAAAAATGTTCATTTATATAGATTCTTAATACGTGTAATCTTCAAAGAGGATTGTTACGATCATTTTTCATTAAAATTATTTTTAAAAATTTCATTACGCATAAATCATATTCCCCGATATTTTTATTTATAAATCATCACGAATATTTGTATTCGACATTTCAATAATTTTTTTACTTCTCTATTTAACATGCCAAGATTATTTATAATTTAAATTATAGAAAAAATTTTATTAAAAAAATTATTATCATTTAAATATACTAACAATAATTAATTATTGTAACACTAATTTTTATAAAAACTTTAAATTATTCGAAATGTTGTAAAAGGTTGGGAAACACTGCCTTTAAACGGAAAACAGAACACATAAACTGTGGTCGTAAGAGATAATCCATGCACATACCATGCACATACCGTGATTTTGGTGACCGAAAGTACAAAGAGACAGATCCTACGCGGGTGCATACGCGTGAACAGACATAAAGAAACGTGTCGATAGGGCTTCTGTCGTTTCGATACGTCTGTTGCCTCTTTGAATGTTATCGGTTTACCATGCTTCAGGGTTCATATATCGAGATGTATATCGGAAACAGAACTCGTAACCTGGTTCATAAGTATACAAGATTTCAATTCAGCCATGGCTGGAATTTTAAATTTTGCCCGTCATCGATCATGAATTGTGATCGTAATATTATATTTTTATCTTATGAAACCAATATAAATATAACCAATATATTTAATGATTTTTTAACGAATGAAGATGAATAATTTTGCTATTACATATATTGTATTTATTCATTGGTTTAACACTCGTAAAAATAAACTCTATGTCTAGTAGTTATTAATTTTAATTTATTGAGAATCGAAACTTGATTTATCATATTAAAGCTTTTTTCAAAGAATAGATAAAGTATAGATATTTGAAATAAAATCTCATTTGATTGAATTACTATTATTAAATAAAAATAAATTTATATGATTGCAAAATTATCGTTATTATTATCTTAATTTCGAAATATCAAGAAACTTTTCCAATTCCAAAATATTTGAAAATTTCCAAATTTCGAATATTCTATTCCTAAATAAAAAGAAACGATTGGAAATGTATTAAAAGATTTAAACTTATCCGTGCAAAATATGTAAAAAAGGCTGCTAAAGTATGGCGTTCGGATTGCAAACTCGTTTCCTGATCCTCGCCTGCCTAAGGGATGCGATCTCTTGCACGAGAAAAATTACGAGCCGATACGCCATAAGTCAAGATACGAGAGGTTGAATGTAACCGGTAGTTTTTACGTGTGACACGTGGGATTTTTCGGTGGGTAGATTTATTGGACGCGTACTTTCAAATTAACCCTTTAATACCAGAGTGTAGAGGAAAATATCAAGACTCGAATAAAGTGCCGCCATAAAGTCGCGATTTCTTCTCGTTATTCCTTTATTGTGTTTGAAAGCTGTCGTGGTGAATTTGTTAAAATAAGATTTCGCCTTATTTTAACGAATTAAATATTTTTTATTAGAAATAAATAATTCTTTTCATATACGAAATTTTTGATATATTTTAATATATCGAAGATAAATAACTTTCTAATAATAATATTAAATTTAATATTCTTTCTATTATTCTATTCTTTTTATTGATTTTCACAGAATTTAATAAAAGTTTCAACTTTAAATGTAAATCTACGACAAAAGTATAATTTAATTATAATATTTTTTACATAACAAAAAAAATGACGTAACATATTAAATATTATTATAGTTAATACATTACAAGTTAATTTGATAACGTGATCAAAAGAGCAAAACTTTTACCAGATTCAAAATAGTATTATTGGTAGAGAACGATGAAGATATACATTGCAACGAAAACACATTTCTCGGTGAAATATCTCACCGTCTAATTTCAAGTTTCGAAAATAGGCTTCGTCCAACTAATTGGACACTTCGTTATTAAGGCGAGAGACAACTCTGCAACGAATTCGAGATGCTAATTAGCGTGTTTCGGGCCGTGGCTAAAACTTGGCCACCGGTGCATTGCAATGGAATCTTTAAATGTGAATATATGTACGACAACCGCGACGACGTTACGGTACAATGTATTTTATGGACCTGAATGAACGGTTTTCATTTTGAAACGAGTTTGTCGAAATTGTTCATCGTATGATGGCATAATATGTACATGTGGATAATATGTACATTGGTATTAAGAACGTGGGAAAAATTTTGTAGATGTTTTTTTGATACATTGTTATGGATTTAAGAGAAAATGTTGTGCACAATATTTTTATATGAATATGAAATTTTTATCAACTGAATGAAAACTTGCTTGTCCTTTGACAAATTGATATAGAAGAAATTTTATTTTATAAATTTATTTTAACTTGTTTTATGTATATAGAGAAAGTGGAATTCTCTTGTATTATAAATTCATTACATGCACATATAATTAAGAATCATTAAGTGCATATTTCTCTTCAATTTTATTATAATTTTCTCAAACTGTAATTACATTATATTGGACACAAAAAAGTTAAAGTTAATATTATAGAAGAAATTTTATACTAATGAAATACTTCAGTATTTAAATAAATAAATAAAAATAATAAATAAATTAAAATAAATAACCAATAGAAAATAACCAATGTTTCAAACTAATTTTCTGATGACTGTACAATTATTATTATATAATAATTCTAACAGAATACATATATGTTAATGAATGTTAAATATGGTATTGACTACCACTGTCGTTGAGTACTAATAGAGTTTTAACAGATACATATGTATATATTTAGAGTATTTAATGGAAGGATAGTTTTAGCTCTTACTTGTTACATGAGTTGGATAATTCGTGCATACAAGTTTAGACTTTGAAGTAATAACAATAATAATAGTTTTTACCTATTAAAACAAAATTAATAATTTTGTCACTATAATAATTTTATATTGATATTTTTAAATATAAAAAGATTTTTATTTCTAAAGTTTTGTATATTTTTATATAATCTGTACACATACAAATTTTTTCTCTACAACTTTTTATATTTAAATTTTTTATAAATACATAAACATCTGTAATTTCATATCATTACCTTTTTTTATAACTTTTTTAAAAATTGAGTCTCATAATATTGAATTTTTTTCTTTTATAATATTGAAATATAAATCAATACAATATATAAAAATTTAATATTTCTGTCTTATATATGATAAACAATAAAAGAAGCAATCTTACTATTCTATTCTATTATTCTAAAACTTTATAAAAACAATAAAAGATAGTCAAATGTCCATTTATCCACGTCTTTTCCTCAACATTCGATTAATTAGAATTTTAACACCGTATATACAGAGATTGATCTCTCCGTCTCATATACGAGACTCGGACAATATCTAAAATAGCGAAGACATCTCAGTTTCTAGAGATTTATAGAAATGGGAGAATAAGATAGTTAAACGACTGTGTCACTTAATTAAGCCATCAGGGTTGAACGTTTAAACAATTGGCGCCTCCCGTATGATATAAAGGATCTCGATATTACCGATGGAGCCACTCAGATCGGATCTGTCTTCACACAGAACAGACCACACACAGAGTTCTTGGATCCTTATCGGTTTGTTGCCTCATCGTCGGCCGGCCTCCTCTCACTGCCAACGCGATTTTAATCAATCCTCCTTATACGAAATGCATCATACACAATGACGACGACGTCTTAATGATATTTATCGTTAATTGCCGGCTACACCACAAGACGGGTAATTGTCGCGGATGGTACTCGAAGACATGCGCAGTAATTGAAACTCGTGTGGGAACAGGAATTTAAAATATAGCGCGAATTTGGAAGTTAAATGGAAATAGAGAATTTATAGATTTATCAAATTTTAATAATTGATTTATATGAAATTGTAAAAAGTATTTAGAATAGTTTTATTTAGTCTTAGTGCTGGATTATGTGAATATTTTAATATTTAATTTTATATTTTAATATAATAATTAAATATATGAAATTTTATATGGGACAGAATTTTTGATAACAACTTGCTATTTTTTTTATTTAATTTAATTTGAAAAATTAATTAAATTAATCACGATTCAGATATTAACCTATAGTATATATGTAGATAAATAGATTATGTACATATAATACAATTAATAACAATATTAAAAAAATATTTTTCTAAATATAGCAAAAATCAATATTCATTATATCCATTCATTATTGAAAATTATTTATTAAAATTCTTCTTTATTTTTAATCAAATTTCGTAGAATCCTTCCTTCTTTCAATATACATATTTTGCTTATAAGGGTGAGTCAAGATTATTTCATGAGAAAATACTGGTGGTACCGGATTCGTATTAACATGCAATAAACCACTGTGTTAGTCACGCATCGGACACGAAATGCGGTGCACACGAGCCACGGAGGTGAAAACATTAATTCGACTTATAATTTTTATGCAAAACAGGCCTCTCGGCATTCAGCTTTGCTCCATTCGCCCTTCTTTTCTCTCTTTCTCTTTTCGCCGTGACTTTCGGTTTAATTGCGAAATATATGAATATACATATATACATCTTATCACGAGGAATTAGAAGCCGAATCTGTACTTGATTTGTTATGCGTATTAAACTGTTTAATTCAATTTTATCAGTGGTACAAGAGAAAGAGCTTAGTTGCTTTCTTTCTTGATTTATAGGTTGATTGATAATTTATAGCATAAATAAATAGTTTGATAGAATTATAAGAATAAATTTGAGAGACAATCGTATCGTTTTAAATCTTTGATAGTGTAATGAAATTAAAATAAGCAACAATTTATATAACGAATTCAAACAAATCAAAAGTAAATGCAAATATTTTGTCTGTAAATAAGTTTAAAATATTTTCACTGAATATTTCCATTAAATCGACAATAAATTAGAATTTTTTCTTCTCTGTTACAGGTGGTTTGGCTGACCGCAGTCCTGTGCCCGCGGCTTGCTGCCGCCAACAACCTGACTTTATCCTTTTCCTCTCGTAAGACCAGGGAACATCCTTTCAGGGGACATATCTCTCGCTGGTAAGTTTTCTGTTTTCACTTTCTTTCTCAATCCTTTCTCCCCAGTTCCACGTTTATTTTTAACAGTATGTATTTTAATTTTGAAATTATGTATAAACACATCTGCAATAATTAAATTCTTATGATTAGTATATAAATTTGTGTATATGAAATAAAATGTTGTTAAATCATATAAAAATTTATTTATCATGTGATGATGAAAAGAATTCTTTTATTTTCTGTGGAATTGTATTTTGTTAAATTTATTAATTATAAATTTATAATATGATGGTCATGCTATTAACTTTCCAGTAATATTTCAATGACAAATTTAAAAAAAAATGGAAGAAGTTTTTTTAAATTACTTATATTTTTTACTTTATACTTACTTTATACTTTGATAATGATTTCTGAAACAATTTTAATGAATTATTGAACAATATTTAATATAAATGAATAATATTTAATATAATTATATAAAAATTATTAATTATATAAAAATTATCTAATTATCAAATAAAAAAATTCTTAAATTCGTCTTAAATTAATCTATCAATGATGAATATATATAAAATCGAAAGATGCATATCAGTCAATTTCTAAATATCTATTGGTAAATTTTATAATGTGTTTTATTATTTGCATTAATTTTATAAAAATGTAATAAATATCACTTGTTATAAATTAATAACACAAATTAATAAATACTGTTTTTTTTACATTCACTTAATAAAATACTATTATATTATTTATCCATATATATATTCTAACACAATCAAAATTCATGATCGAGAAATATCTTGACATCGTTCAAGTTTAATATTAGTGCTCGCAAATTATACCGATATGCCAATGACATTATTTTACATGGATGAATTTCAATTTTCAATCAGCAACCGTGGCGAACATATATTTTCTTTGCATACCTCAACGTTACGCCATTATTTATTCTGTCTGTCGAATTATCTTAATTATTATTAATGACTCATATGAGAAGTTTACCAAGTGAATATGGAATTAAGGGCGAATTATCGGGAGAACTGATTTTTCGCGACATTACGACTGCATTCTATCGCGCATGTGATTCAGACACGAGCCACTTATGCTGCGTCCACAATAATGTTTATGATTCCATCTGGTGAGCTCTTGGCAAACCACGTTTAACCTTTTATGATTTATTTAATGTAAATAAATATGAAATAATAATAATAATGATGTTCTAATAATAAGAAATAAGATGTTTAAACTGAATAATGTAATTTAAATGTAAGATTCACTGAAATAAAATTATTTTTCACATATAATTGATTAATTTTATCTCTTTGCTATATTTCTGAATGCCCATATTGATAATAATTAATTGATAGTTCACAACCAATCGACAAGCTATTTAGTCATCCCATGAACAAAAACAGTATTCATATAAGAAATGTTACAATCCAGAGATATAGAAATGTTTTAATGTATTTAGAAACACTTTAACCTTACTAATCTTTAATCTATTATTTTCTAAAAGAATAATTATTGCTATTCATTATAGTTCATTATAGTTAATAAAGCAAAAACAGTGTGGACGTAGCATAACATTCTTTTGGTAAACGAACAACTCTATAATTCCTCACGAGCTACCCGCAAGCTGTTCACAAGTTTCAATGAACGTGATGCTACTCCTGCACAAGAACATTTCTGTTTAATGTAGACACAGTGTTTTCTTGATGGATGAACAAATCACTATTTTGTAAACTAAACTCTAATGAGATTCTTTTTTTATTCATAATTACTATAGAAGCAACTTTCAAATTGATCACGATAAATATTTTTTGATCCATAGATGCACTATTATGTTATGATCTTACCTTGAATATATATTCTTTCTCTCAAATCAATTTCTGATTACTTTTATTCTTTATTTTCTCAATTTCTTTTATTTCTTTTATTTTATTTCATCTTTTCTTTTCTTTTCTTTTCTTTTCTTTCTATATTTTTATTCTTCTATTCTTTTCTATTCTTTAATATTCTTCAATGTTTTTGATAACCTATATTTTCTACATCATGAATTGTTCGGCGATATATTTCGATACATTGAATATATATCGATATATCGATATATTTCACGATTGTTTCAATTTCGCTTAACATTTCAGGACGCAGACTTTAGAAGATACTACCAAGCGGATGACTTATCGAGAGATGAACATGATTCTGCGACACGAAGGAGGCGAGGACGGGCTTCCAGTCGATTGCTGTCCTACGGTAGAGGAAATGGTGGAACCGGTCGGCGGTCGAAATCGGGAAAACATGTATGTTCAACTGTATCGGGATGGCCAGAACGCCCAGAGGTTCTTCGAGTACTCCTGCAGGCCAGACGTCCTCGACAAGCCGTGCAGGTTCATCGACCGGAAGTTCACCAACCAGTCCAGATGTGTGCAGAAGTTCTCATATACTTATGCTATCATTGAAAATTCTGGATCGACGGTACGTGGTGCGATGTGAATCATATTTAATTTCCACTCTCACGTTTTTTTAATCTATATTATGTAATGTGTTCGTTAAATGTGATAATTAGAAATGGTATCAAGTTTAATAGGCTCATGATCAAAAGTTTCGAAATGTATGTTTACGCAAAAATTACGACAAAATTAGATAATTGTTGATATAGTTGATATTAATTTTTAATTGTTATATGATAAAAAAAATTTTAGATTGTGCCAAATTTTTACGATTTTGTTTTTTCAGAAAAAATAATCGAGGTAAATAATACTTATATATTTCAACAATATATACAGGACTATAAATTAATAAATTATAAGAAAAATTTTAAATAGATGAATGCAAAAAAATTAGCCATTGATTTATTTTTTTTAGAAATTATACTTTTATATTATAGAAATTATGATAATATGTATATAATAAATGAATAATCTACAAAATAATCAAAAATTTTCTATTTTTCTTTTTTCAAAATAAATTATAAAATATATACATACGATTAATTATTTTCTCAGATGATCCATTAATCTTTTGAAGAAAAAATTTCTTTAAAACTTTAATTAAACAATTAAACGTAACTTTACCATATTCAATTATGAAATTGAAAATGATTTTGATATCATAAAAAAATATAGAAATATTATTAAAATTATATTTTGATATATTATAAAACACGTTATCAAGATTTTTAACTAAATATTTTATTTTATTATATCAGGGTGGAAAAGAGGAACACGGGAGACATCGGCACAGAGAACGCATGATTCCTACATTTGCTGGAAACACAGTGGGTGGATCGATGTGGACATTAGACTACATCAAAGTACGAAGTGGCTGCAGCTGCGAGATCATGCCGAAACTAAAAAAAAAGAAAAAATACAAGAAAAGCAAGCCAAGGGATCAAGACTTAGATCCGGAGACTTGAGATTTCCGTAGAATCAGGACAGATTGTTCTACCTCCGAATACGCGATATCATTATTAAAAAACATATTTTATGGTCCGATCGAAATACATTTTGAATCGATGAAAAAACTAATAAAAAAAAGAAACGAAATATATATTCGTTTCTCGGACCGATTAAAATGTTACCAATAGAAAGGATTATCTTTTTAGCAAAGGTTGAAACGTTAATATTATTATTAAAAGTACTCAAAAACTTATATTGTTTCTAGCAATACATTATCGACAACAGTAATTATTTTACAACAATTTTTATTATCGTATTTATTATATATATAGACAATAATAATAGATAAATTATATAGATGTATGATTTGAAAATATGATAAGATATTATTAATACATGTTAAAACTCTAGAGAGGAGGTTCCGCCAAACTTCATATTTTGTTTATTTTTGATAAAAATTGATATTTTAAATGAAGATAAAATAATTGTAATTATAATACAATAAAGTTAGTAGAATCTCCTTCACATGGATAAATATTGGATAGACTGATATTACAATTCAAAGAGTTGAATGTGAAATATTATGTAAATCTAGGTTTTCTAAATTATCATTATTGTCAGAAAAAATAATCATATAATAAGGATGCGTGTTTATATTATTATATTAGCAATAAATGAATGTCTCGATCAGATTTATATTAACATTTAAACTATATTTTCAGTTTCATCTGCGGCCAGTTATCATATGCTCCTATAATTTTAATATATTTTAAAATTATTTCTATTTGTAAGTTAGAGATCAAAAATAGATTTTATCGTTAATAATATTTTATAATGTATTACGTTTTATAGATCTGCATATAATTCGTTATATATATAGATAACGACAACCAAATAGAAAACTACTTAAATTTATTTAAGATATTAAAATTCTATTTAACTAATATTATTAAGTCTGTTTTATCTTTTAAAGCACTGACTAGAAGAATTAAAAAGTGCAACAAGTAAAACGTTGCATTAACTAGTAACCATGACAATTACTAATAAATCTGAGTATATCATAAGAAATAACAAAATAAAAATTTATTATAATAATCTAATACAAGTTAGAATATATACAGTTTATTTTATTTACAAAGGTATAAATATCTTCATATGAAAAAATAATTTTTAAACTTACATACGCGTGCGCGCGCGCGCGCATTCACGTATATACATATAAATTTATATTAATTTAACACATTACAAAAATGAAATCGCTAATATTTTAATAGAATTTTATTAATTAATCTATCGCTTTGTATATATATATAGAAAGATATATATAAGAACGTACATAAATATAACAAATATATTTTTATGCTTTATATTAATTTAATGTAAATTATAATCAATAATTTTTATATTTAGGATTAGAAATATTCAAAAAGAAAATATTGTACTTAAATAGCTGAAATTGTATTAGTTACATATTGTACACATTGACAACATAAATAATGAACGAATTATAATATCAGTTTTTCAATTTAACGTATTTATGAATGTATTATAGTAAATTACGTCCTATGTTTAATTAATTAATTAAAGAGCTTTTCCAATAAATAATTTTTTTTCTATCACTGTAGTTATCATATTAATATTTTAACAAGTGGTTTCAACTTGATAACACTCATGTATTATAATCACATATTAGGTTAATAAATTTATTTTCTGTAAGGCCATGTATACATTGTACATAAATAATAATACAATTGTTATGAAATATATTCATTATTTTTCTTCCTTTGTTTAATATGATTGTTTAATAATGTAATATAATAATATTGATATTATACTTTAATTTATAATTAGTTTCATTTTTTTTATTTATTCAATATATAATAATTTTTTTCCATTTTAAATAATTAGAATTTTAAAATATCGAAACCGTTTCAAGAGCGTTTGAATTTTTTTAGAATAAAACAGAGAAGGAAAGCAAATAATGAAAGAAATACAGAGAAGTTGAAAATATTTAAATCAGCGCCATCTGTAGAATGCCGTAAATGAAACATAAAATATAAACTAGAAGAGCAAATAGCAAGAGAAAATAGAAATAAAATTGACTGTTAGCGCCATCTTCTGAATACCAATGATATATTTCCAAACGATAAATTTTAAAAATATTCAAGAGATGGCATTAATTTTCAATTTTTTTCTATCATCTTTTAAAGAAATATTTTTAATATTGGATTAAATAACACTAATAATCAATTTTATATTATTTTTCTGCTTTTCTATCACTTTCTTTCTTTTTTATTTTATTTCATCTACGATATGAAGAAATTAGAAAAAGCATAAATATGCAAATAGTAAGTCTGTAGAATTAAGAAAAGTAAAAAAACGATTTAAAATTCAAATAATATAATAAGTTCAAACAGATAAGTATGCAAATGATAAATATTCATAAAAATTCTTGTTTTTGAAAATTAAAAAAATTTCACATGCCACTTCTTATTTAATTATATTTTCCTAATAAAAAATCCAAAATACACAATTTGAAATATTTTAAATTTTATTATATGTAATCCTTCGACTATATGATGCAAAAATTTAAAATCACATATGTGACAGATCTAGTCTATATTTATTCTATGATTAGGTTATAGAATTCTTAAATTTATCATCGTAAATCATAGAGAGCGCATCAAACTTTCGATTTCTTAATCGGTAATTCAGAACAGGACTAAATTCTATAAAATAGTGAATCTATAAATTCATACATCATCTGTAAATTCTGTTAGAATCATTCGAATTTTGATCGTGTTACCAACTGAAAGATTTATAAAATTGAAAAAGCCGGACATGGCAGTTGCAACGAATTCTTTCGATGATTGGCTTAACAAGAAATTACAAGCTTTAAAAACTGACGAAGGTATATTTGGCTCATACATCAAAGGAATTTTACAAGGTGATGAAACGGAGGATGAGAAGATTGAAGCCCTTGAAGGCATACTTACGGGCATAACGGTGAGGAGCACAGGAATTGTGAGGTTAGAATATGCTTGCTGTTTGTAGCCGATGTTTATTAACCGGTCAAAAATAACAGCAGAATTATTATTATTCTTTCTCTCATTAATTTGCATGTATCTACTCAAATTTGATATGTTGTGCATTTCGTTGTTGTGTGTGCATGTTCAAATATTATTATTGTTTTTTATATTCTTTAACATCCTAGCAATGTCGTACAATACGTTATCGAATGTCATCGAATGAAAATAACACTTATCGTTTTATCGTAAAATAATAATTTTTTATCTTATTTATTTTTAGGATGATAATATCAATAAACATGTAACGGAAATTTTAAAAGTTTGGGAAGAAAACCTACCCAATAAGGAGAAGGCTGGTCCAAAAGTACCAGTAGAAGATGTAGACGTCAGATTAGCGCGAATGTTGGAGTCTCAATCTCTTCCAACTACAACACAAAGAAGTTATACAGATGAAGAAAAGAAAATAAGAGAAGCTATTCTTGCACAATATAGTCAAATGTCAGAAGAAGAGAATAGTGAAGGAGATGGAGAAGAAGATGGAGCAAGTGGTGGAGATTGTGGAATAGAGAAAAATACAAATGCAGCTGCAATAATACAACAAGAAAAAGAAAAAAGGGAAAAAGCTAAATTGGAAAGTCAAAGAAAAAAAGAGAAAGATAAAGAAGATCGGTGTGTTTTTAATAAAATAATTTTTATATAAGAAAACTTATGTATATGTTATTAATAAATATATTATTTTAGAGAAAAACAGAAACAATTAAGAGAGGAAAAGAAGGAAAAACGAAAAACACAGAAGGGAGAACGAAGAAGGTAGCATTGGGATTACAAGATTTTAAGTTTTATCACAAGATTTAAAATAATCAAATGCAAATTAACATACATATACATTTAGTTTATTCTTATGCATGTACTCTAATATCTATTTAAATCATTTATTAATCTTTTATTAGAAATTTATCTCTGTAGAATGCATATCTTACAAAAACAATATCACAACATATGTGTATTGCTAAAAGAAGTTAATTGTATGTATAATTGTAATAATGTTAATAATATTGTATGTATATGTATGTAACATTGCATCTTGTGCCTTCTATCTGTTGAAAATCTCTGTGAAACAATGAAATTTTTTCGAAAATAATTTTCTATTTCTTTTTTTTTTATTCTTTTTTTATTCTTTTTTTTTAAATTAAAATTGAGTGGACTCTGTGTGATTTTCATTCAAATCATAATCATATTAGTTTTATTTACATTAAATCATTTTTTTTCAATATAGAATGATATACTAATCAAAGTAAAGCAATGATCCTAAATATAGATAAATGATTTGTACTTATTATTATGCTAAATATATATATTTCTTTTTATTATGTAAATTATGTATTTAATATTAATAAAAATCAAATAAAACCATTTAAATCATTCTAAAACTTTTAAATAATTTTCATAAATAATTTTTAATTATTATTATATTTCAGAAATATTATATGGGATAAAGATTATAATATAATATAAAGTCATTTTTATGTTTGTATTTTTTATTAGTATATATTTACACACAAGATACCGTGTCGAAACCGAGTCATCTTGGTATTGCATTAATAATGAAAGACAAACGCAGTAAGATAAAAACAAACGAACAAATGATACAAAAGATGATGATGCTTCAGTATTGTATCGTTACATATACTAATGTCATTATTATAATCATTTATTATTAGCAATTCTTCTTTTCGTTTACTATAATTAAGTTGAGCAGAAATTGAACTCACACTGCACGATAATAACAAGGTCTTTCCTGCTATTCAACATCGAGTTACAAACCACTATTATCAATTCCTGCTCTCTCACTCTCATTCTCTCTCTCCTCTCTCATTTCTTCCCATATTTTTTCTATATTCTGTGAGATATCCTTTCCCCCTCCCGATTTTATTTCATTTTATTTATTTTTTATTTTGCGAAGCTCATCATTATATTTCGAATAAAAAATTCTCATATGTATAATATGCATATATTTATATGTTTAATTAGTATAATAACTCAAAATAATATAATGCTAATATATTGCTAATGAAGAAAATCACGATTAGAATTTATGCTATCGATTTTTATCTCAAACATGCGAAAATCTGTGTCATTACCAAAGATATATTTCTTATTACATTTTGTACATGCTTTTATTTCGAGAAATACGATCTATATTAACCACATGAAATTTAATTATATAAAGAGAACTTGACAATGACGGAAACATACAATATGAAGAAAATTTACAAATTCCGTTATAGTCTCTCAATCAGCAACAGCGCATAGAACCTCAATGTTTGGATTTTGACAAAAAAAAAAAGAAAAATAATATTCGCTATTTGAAATTCCATAAACGCTTAACTGTAATTTTGGTAATACACTAATACAAAATTATTTGTGATTGTCCTATTGAGATACACTAAGCAAGAACAATTAATCATCACAAGGATAATTTTGTGAATTAATCGAACATTATGGATCGATATTATGTCCAGAAGGGAGGGGGAAAAGGGACGGTCGCAGTCATGGCTATGGCAACGATCTCGCCATTTATGCACAGTTACTATCTAATTGAATTTGATAAATCTAATCACGTCGTTAACTCGATAATTAGTTACACGTTGTCCTAACAGATATACACTAAGAGCATTCCACGCTGAAGCCTGAAAGAGAGCCTTTCCTTTTATTCTTTAGTAGAGTTTAGACCTTTTTAGACCATCCCCTTTTTTCGTAACATGTTTTTGGACTAGAAAGTAACTGTCTTGTATGTCCATTATTTCGGTTATTATTAACCGATAAAGTTGGATTACGAGACGAGTAATGATTCTTTCTCAATCCAATTGAACTATTTGACATAAGAAATTTTGTTTTAGAAGATACATGAATTGATTATTTAAACATCACTTTGTCCCATATCTTTCTTTTTTTTCTTTTTTTAACTTTTGTTTATTTCTAAAGAAAGTATACTTCAATAATTTTTATTTAAATTTTTTAGGCAAATTTCACTTCACGAAAGACATGTACGCATGCGCGAATACACGGCGACATGTTAAACATGAGATGATCAGTTTACGTAGATTAGTCGATCCTAACGCATGTAATTTGATCCCACTGTATACAATATAGTGAACACAACTAAAAAATTTGAGGACTGTACAATTGACGTGAATAACTCGTGAGAACGAAAAACCATAATGAAAGAGAAAAAGATTTATCGATTCAATTTCACGTTTTTCGTGCTCTTAAATTTTTCGCGTCAAATGTGTTCAATCGATTCGATTAAATCGTTTAAAAACCGATATAAAATGAGAATAAAGTATTTCTCAATTAAATGTTTGGTATTGGATGTAAAATTAAGCTGTTCATTTAAGCATTTATAATTTTTTTGCTTCTAGGACACTTTAAACACTTGACATCTATATGTATATATATTCTTGCTTATGAAATAGCAGTAGTCATAGCGTAACAATGTTTATCGAACGTCTATTTGTGTTAATCATATTTGAACAATAAATTCATCGAACAGATCAAATGACCAGATCGTCATTATAATATATAAGACTTATATAAGACTTTAATTATAAATCTATATCAAGGAAAACATTTCTTCTGATACTTTTCTAAATCTTTTCTAATTGAAAATTTTATAAACGATTTAATCGTCGACTTTACACAATAGAACAGTACCAAAGGGAAGAGTAATGGGAAACAGGGGACTCCATGTATCGGAGCTACGTTGTTCGAACGGTCTTCTCTATTTTCTAAATGAATATCCTATATTTAACTCGTTTTTTCGCTTCCGCGTGGGTTACTTAACACTTAAAATTGTATATGTATATATGTATATGCGATAATGTAACGCATTCTCGCTGGACACATTCTCTCTAACATATCTAATATATCTTCCCTCTGTGTTCCTTTCTGATATTTCTGTTTCTTTTTCTTCTTTCGTTCTCACGCACATATGCATACGGACGCACACGAGTTTTATTAATGTTAATTATTATACACAATTTGATATTTCTTGTTTCGCTATAAATTTATTCTGTGTCTGTATGTGTGTGAGGTTATGTGTGATCTATGTACGTGGTTTAGATACTACACTCGTTAAATGTTGGACTCGTCGCTCTGACTATAGTCGAACAAAGTGCTTCTGTGGGCAGCTCTCTCTTTTTCTCGTGCCGGTGGCGCCTGTGAATTTAGAACCGTTCGTTACGCGCTCTGATCAATTTAAAATTTCGGAATTTACGAAATATTTAAAATATATTTTTGACATAGTAAATATGTTAAAAAATTAATGTTATTTTATTACATATCATTTATTATGTAATACGAGCTTCTGTTTCTATAGGATAAGGTATATAAAAAATATTTGAATACTTTTAACCTCTAAAATTACCATTACAAATTTTCTCTTAGTTTTTTAACATTTGTTTATAATATATTATAGCTCGTATTCAACTATGATTTATTTGTAAATTTGAAATTTAAACATTCTAGAAATTTTTATTTTTTATTTCATATAAAATATATTTTAACTAAAAAAATTATTTTCACTATTCTATACTAGAGAACAATAAAGATATCCACATATCTTTCAAATACCTTATCCTATATTATTTTTTTTAACATTTTTCATAATATATTCTAAATATTCTTTGCATAGTGTAAGTTGTCTTCCATTATATGCCACATACAAGATTTTAACTCAAGTCTAATAAACAAATGCTTAAAGATATTAATTAGATATGTTTGAATGAATAAAATATACTTTGATTATTTAAACATATGAAAATTAAACAAGAAATATGCAAAATTATTTAGAGAAAAAATCAATGTCATCACCTTATTACGATCAGTTAATCGATTATCGAAATGTCATCGCCTTATTGCGATCAGTTGATCGATTATCGAATTCTTTTTTTTTTTTTTGAATGTAAGAAAAACGCGGGAAAAATAAAAAAAAAATGCATTTCGGGCTGTGATCGTTTAGTCAACGAAATATAAAAAAAAGTACAATGCAAAAAAAAATGTATCTTATGAATACATTTTATGAATGATCGAATTTATATGCTTTTAAATAAAATTTTAAAAATAACTTTTTATTATTTCAGTCTTTACGTCACTTCTTTATCATCAATTGAATATTTTTCGTTTGCCTTTGTTTCTTTTTTTTTTTTTCCATTATTCTGTACATGCATTTTTTGTACATGATTACCAAATCGTTGCCTTTCGACAAAATACTTACGAAGACAACTTACATTTATATTCCCATAAAAAGCAATTTTTACTACATGGTAATACTTCATTCAGATAGATATATCGAGGATATAAATTAATATACTAGGTGTAATCAAAATTATAATTATGATTATTGAAAAATATTAATATAGAAAAATCTGTCAATCAACTTTTAATTGTAATTTGCTTCATTTATCATCAATTACGATTTAGTTTTTTGTTTTAAATATTTAAAAAAATCTAATTATTTTTAATCATTTCAAATTGACATCATATTTCCAACTCTTTATCTCTTCTAAATATTTGAAGTTCTGTTTCGAAAGTTTAAACATTTGCAATTTTCTGTCCAATTAATTTTGTAACCTCGTTATATCTTCTAAGTCGACCATATCTTGATTTCAATCCAAACGAAAAAAAAAAAAAAATAATAATATGTGGAAGAATGGATCGAAAATCATTAATAACGAACAATTACGAATAATACTAATGATATTTATCATAACTATTAATATATATCTTTCTCATTTAGTTGAACTTTCATTGTGATTTTTGAACACCGAGCGGGAAAACTCTTTTCTTCTCCCTCTCCTTCTCGCGCACGCGTGTATGTGTGTGTATGTGTATCGAGGCAACGTATATTACACGGTACAGAAGTCTTCCTTTCAAATCCTTCGCATTTACACTAAAAAGTAACACGAACTTCGATTTTAATATTTTTATAACCTACATTCCGATGAGTGAAGAGATACAATTTCTAATTAACATTTGATTAACGTAACAAGATAATAAATTGGGAAAAATTAAAATTGGTTAATAGAAAAAGAAAGATAAAATTCTGCTTAAGATGTTATGCATTACATTAATAGCCAAAATTATGCGAAAATAAATGTAGTAAAGAATTTTCAAGCATTTGACAATTTTTTTTTAGTCGTCTATTGTAATAGAAAGAAAAAAAATAAAAAGAAATAAAAATGTTAACGAAGAAGCGAATGTATGGTGTGTTGGATTTCAAAGGCTTCGTTAAATCTGTACAATCCTTATGATAATAACAACAACAATAATAATAATAATAATAATAATAATATTAATAATAATAATAATAATAATAATAATAATAATAATAATAATAATAATCATAATGTTATCTCTGTTATTATTCATTGGATAACTTCGTTAATATCGTAATTATATAATCTTGCTATAATAGTGAGAGCGATAAATCAATATTAAGAAAATAATGATTGATAGTATAGAATGAAAAAAGATAATCATTAATTATAGCGATCGTTTACTTCTTAATATCAGAGATCTACGTAAAAGACAGTGGTAGATTAATATCACAATAAGACTACTCAGGCCTCGTGAAACTGGGGCACACGCTTCATCTCCAGGAGCATCGTCTCTCTCTCTCTCTCTCTCTCTCTCTCTCTCTCTTTCTCCCTCTCTCACACTCTCTCTCCCTCTCTCACCGAGGTTTGCCTTGACGTTTCATTATTAATCGGTACCCTGTTGTCACGGGGTTTCAGACGACTCAGGTTTTACCTATTTTTTTTTTTTTCCTTTTATTTTCTTTTCCTACTTCTTTCACGTTTCAACCGCGATTATATGAATGTGAATATAATGCTCGATGAAAAATCGCGCGGAAATATCGTTGTTAAGAACGCATTCACCCTTTCGCTATTCTCTCCTCGTACATATTTCTTCGTATACATATAGTATACATATATATATAATATATATATATCGTTAACATTAATTTGCGCCTGTCGATAGCGAATCGAACTTTTCTTACAACGTTACTAATCGCGACGATCGTATTGCGCCTACGTAATTATATATACGTTCTATGAATTGTTTTAACACAGGACAACTGTGCGCGACTGAGGAGTTTCGTCCATTTTAAAACTTTCGGTGAACAATATACTGAATGATCTTTGTTATCGTTGGAAGAAGTGTTTCTCTCTCTCTTTTTTTTTTTTTTTTTTTGCAAACGATCTCTTCTTTCTTAACGCGATTTGCAAAAACGCATCGTCGACTAAAGTTGTAAAATTCTCGCTAACACTTGGAAGTGTTTAGATTAAGGGACGAGTGTCTTATGGACAAACGGATTATAGGGAACAAACTTCTATTTCCGATCGACTTCTACGATATCGGTGCACGCGCGTCGTTTACGATATTACCTGAGTGACGTCGGGCCGCCGGGATCATATCTTTCTTTTCTTTCTTTCTTTCTTTTTTTTTTTTTTTTTTTTTTTTTTTTTTTGTCAGTCGCGGCTAGAACGGATAGAAACAACCGCGTTCCCCGTTTTTTACTATAATTAAAAATCATGCTCGTTGTGTTCGTGACACGCGCGCGTCTTCGTCAAAAATTGTTTTGGCCTCGTATATGTAGCTCGATACACGCTGAGAGACTAGCAAGGGAAAACACTAGACTAGCCTTTTGGCGTCGACAACATGATCGGGCCAGATCCACAGCCAGCCAATTCTACATGCCTCGATGTCATGTATCATGTCCCAAGAGTGATTTCCTCTCACTCTTCGAGCACACCGGATATCGAAAATAAAAAATTCCTACTCAATGAATTGGCTTGATTAACTACATCAACGAGAAAAATCATCATCGTTTTATAACGGATATTCGTAAACCGAATTTATATATTTTTGGTCTTGTGTAACTTGGCACGATTGGCCGTGCCATTTGTATGTACATGATTTGCTTTTATTGTCGTAATCAAATCAACCGTCCAATCTCGTTATTCGTTCCACAAAAAAGGGGCCAATATACGCTTGTCATTCTTAATTACGTATAAACAATTTCTTTCCTTTTTTTATATATATATATATATATAAATATATATATGTAATAATAAATATATACATTTATATATACATATATATCATCTCGGTGTAGATTGGAGAGCGAGTGCTGTTCGATCGCGACACGGTACGCGCGAAAGCATCTAGAAGTGGGTAGCGCAAAACCGATTTCACAATATCGGCGGTAAAAACGTACCGGAATCGTCGAGATTTGGGTCCAGACTCGCGACGATATCGCCGGTCGAGGCGTGCCTCGAGGTAGTAGTCTGCGTGCTACTCGCGAGCGCGTGGCTGCTCGCGCTTCCGTTCAGCTTACTCTTCACTACGAGGCCTGCGTTGTCGGTGTTTTCGGTCGTGCTGATCCTCTGCACGTACTTACGACCTTTGCACAAACGATACATCGTGTAAGGGGGATCCTCGACAGTGGTCGCCCGTTGCCTGGGCGCGCTTACTGTCACGCTAACTGTCTGAGCGTGGGCGGATTGCGACGACGTTTCCATGCTCGTTGTGTTCGCGTTCGCGTTCGTGTTCGCGTTCACCGTCGACGCGGCTATCGTCGACGTCGAGGAGCTCACGTGAAAGGAGGACGAGTTCAGCCACTCGTGACGCATCGCCTCGTCGGGGGTCATGCGTTTCTTTGGATCCCACCTGCCGGAAACAAGAACACACTTTCGTTAGAGACTCGTTTCTCTGTAGCGGGGTTGATGATGTTTGAACGTGATAATGGGCCCCTTTGTACGCATTTTTCGAGTAACTTTTGTGTGTTAGGTGCTGTGAAAACAGGGGATTTCTCTTTTCATTCTAACACTTTTCCTTGCCAATCTTGGATTCGACGTTGGATTCTCCTTTGAATTCTTTTCAATTTTCAAACGCTAGAATTAGATTAATTAAATAATTGGAATAAATATATCGAATGTAATTTGGATCACGTAATATGATGTAGTAAGTATTAAAAGATTTTTATACGTTTCTTTTCTTTCTTCTGATGGAAAAACGTTTGTTAAAGTTCACAGGATTACTTACTCGAGGCATCTGCGAACAAAGTCGACGAAAAGTGTATCGGTGCAACGAAGAGCTATGGCAAGATTCCTGCTACCAGCCCATCTCTTCTTGCCCTTACTGTTTGTCACGCATCGAGGACTTCCCTTCGGATCTGTAACCGATTCCTTTTATTTCACCAGAATAATACACCTCCTACTACACCACCCTATCAATAACCCTCTTCGTTAAAAAAAAAAAAAATCTTCCTCTGCACCCCCCTATAATTTATCAACTCTCCAATAATACACCACACATCGTAAAAATACATCAATTTCACGCTTCTACTCACCGAAGAAAAGCCTGCGACGGGATGCGTGATTAATAATATGTTCCGGTGGCAGGCCAAGAACTTCCATAATGCAGGCAAGTTGTTCAATTTCATCCTCGCCCGGGAACAAAGGACAACCGGTATAGAGTTCGGCTAGAATGCAACCCAAACTCCACATATCGATCGGGGTACCGTATGGAAGACCCAGAATCACTTCTGGACTTCGATAAAATCTGGACTGAAGGTATGTATATACACGCTGATGGCTGTAACACGAGGATCCGAAGTCTATCACCTTAATCGAGCTGCTTCCCCGCTGTTTCAGAAGCACGTTTTCCTGCAAATACGACGATGGATTAAAAAATGGAATTAAGTTCAAGGGAAGTTCATTCTTATTAACTCTTTGCATTCTTCGTTGTTTACATCACTATTTTACTTTGTTCAGGCAAGTTCAATTAACATTACTTACTGGAGGACTGATGAAATTGTTGTTATTTTTTTTCTTATTTTTTTTTTAAGATTATTATCAATTTTTATTCTTATTGATACAAATATACTTACAGGTTTCAAATCGCAATGAATTATCTTCTCTCGATACAGCAGTCTCAGGCAGCTAATTAACGAATTGGCGAATCGTCGTATTAGGCTCAGACTAAATCCCTTATAGTTATTCTTTTTGATTAGCTCGTATAAATTCAAACTGAAAACGGAAACGGTAAATATAATTACAGATATTATATATATATATATATATTCAAAAGAAAATAAAATTAAAAATTCTTGAATTCAAAATAGCTTTTATAACAAATGTTATAAATTATAACATAAAAATTAACAATTTTTACAAAATTAACATAACAAATGTTATAAATTATAACATAAAAATTATATTTTTCTTTTTAAAAAAAGATAGGAAGAGTTTAATATCAATTATTCGTCGTGAGACTATAATCTACATTTGTCATTTCAAAAATGCTCTCTAGAATAGTCTTTAACAGAGAAGAAAATACATTCGAAGATTAAAAAGAGAGCATATACCTCATTAACTCAAAGGTGATGCACAAATGATTCCTGAAGTAGAAGTATTCTAGCATGTGTATCACATTGTGCGACGCATTCGCCTCTAGATCTTTCTTCCTGAGATGTTCCAAAATCTCCACTTCGACGAGCGCTTGATGATGGAATCTCTTTTTATTTCTGTAAAAAAATTGCCATAAATAGTACGCCATCAGTTTAAAACGGTTAAAATAATCGATAAAATCAATTTAAATACAAATTCATACAAACAAAAATTCAAACAAAACGATCGTTTATCATATTTAGTTACAAATTTAATCAAGTCATACAATTCCAATACAAATTGTCATCAAAGATGCGCAATAAAAATTTATTCGAATAACATTCAACATTGGCTTTTTCTTCTTGTTCGTTCGGTGCAAACGTGACTTAATCATAGTTTAAAAGCGAACGAAGAAAGCCGGATACGCATGAAAGGAAGCGGAGGATGCGCGACGATAAAAGCTGATCACGCCATGATCACGAAACGCGAGTTTGTATGGTAATTTAAAGTGATTCAGTGGAGGGATACTCGTTCAAACGTTCGCTTACCTGATGATCTTGATGGCAATGTACTGTCCTGTCTTGTGATCCAACGCTCTGATCACTTGTCCGAAGCTTCCTTTCCCGATCACCTCCAATATCTCGTATCTGAACAGAAAATTATCGGTTTTCGACCATGAATTTCTGCGAGTTTAACGATTTAAGGATTCAGATCTTTTTGGATTATTCTCTTCTTTTATTCGTTTCATATCTCTGCAATGTATAGGTATTTTTTTTTATAATTGTTATTGTTTTTTTTATTATAATTCTCGAATGATCACATTGGATGATCGTAATTAAGATTAAAATTAATTAAGATTAAGATTAAAATAGGAAATTTGTTCAAATTTCTATGAAAATTAATAGATTTAAAAGTAATAAATACAAAATTTATAAAAGTTAAAATCTTCTTTAGCAAAGATTCTACGTCATTTTTGATTTAATTTAAGAAAAAATTAGTATTGATTTTCTTATAATTATTAAAATTGTATATCATAATATATCGTTGCAAACTGTATCATTTTGAAAAAATGAATATTGCAAAATGTCGTGTAATTATTATAATGAATATATTATTGTTTCGATAATTTTGTATTTTATGGTATATAAGTTGCATAAAATTTCGCATTTTTTAACAATAATCAAATACATCGAAACGTACTTTACATTGGAGAATCACAGATTTCAATTTTTAGTCGACGTTCCCACGAGAGCGCGTTCATTCTGCTTGCAAAATGGCCGAATCCTGTAAGCTTGTTTCTTTCAAACGGCGTATCTCGTTTCGCGTGGAACGAATGCTCCCCGATACTCTACATTCTGATTAACAAACGTGCCGAAAGCAACGTGAACGCGATTGCGTGCTACAAACATGACTAAAAGGCAATATTTACCATTTTTTAGTTGAATCGTCTTAAGCTTTTCTCTTCGCTTTGAGGTATTATCTTGCAATTTATAACATAAAGTTGGTTGTGCAACCTTGAACGTACACAAAGATTAAGTGGAAGATTTAATTATATACAAAACTGATTTAATTTATATTTCGACCATCACGAACGAATTTCATCGCAAGATTCAAATTATTTGATTAACTCTAAGAATATTACTTGAGGAATTCTCTAAACTCACAATAATAAACAGCTATAAGCAGCTATAGGATAATTTAAATATGACTATTCAAAAGGTATAGAGATATGATAGAAATATATATCTGAATTTTATTTTTAAGATATTTAAAAACATTTAGAAGGATGGAATTAAATAGAAATAAATGCAAAGATATATAAAAAAAAACATTCGATAAATAGATTATCATATTTAATGTGAAAAAGATTTTTTACTCTTAGATTAATTATATTATTTTATTCTATAATGCATGTGAATAAAATAAAATTCAATGCAAAATGATATAAACATTTTTCTTATAAAATATAACATATATTCAAATATATATTATATATTTCTTAAAAAATATATGTAAAGAAATTTAAGTTCGAAAAGCCTTTTTTACTTTTTTATAATGATAATATGTTTCCATAGAATTAATCAAAAGAGAAATCTTGCGAAAAATTTAGAAAAATGTTTATTTTTGAATGGGGATAGAGAATGGTTTAAAATTTCGATAAAAAATATATACATAATATTTTATTTCTTTATTCAATTAATAAATAAGAATAGAATGCAAAACTCATTAAATATTTATAGCTCCTAAATTTGATTGAATTGCAACGATAATAGGAAATCGTGAAATCGGGAAGAATAAACCGTAGATTAAGCGTTAAGCTATTAAAGAGGAAAGTCTTTTAAAGAATGAGTAAACTATGAAATAAAAGAGTAAAGAGAAAAACTCACCTGTACGAGATATGATCGTGGAAGACCTTGTTGTAACTACCGTTTTCGTCGTCGTATCCACCATTTTGGGATGAGCCCTCCTCGCCATGAATTTTCGTGGCCGACAGACCAAGGTACCAAATCTCTGAGTATTTTTCGATTTCGTTGCGCTCAAATTCGGTGAGCCTCGAACCATAATACTTGAGAGCTTCTGGAGCTGTCATTGGCAATCTCCCAGCTGTTTCATGAATGTAAAATAAATACAATGTAAAAAAAAAAAAAAAAAAAAAAAAAATAAGAGCAATATAAAAAAAGAGCAATATAAATTTTATTTATAGTTTTTTTTCATTTCTTTTTTTAATTTTTCTCTTTAGAATAAATTAGTAAAAAGACATATTTTTATGAATTTAGAGAAGAAATCATTTTCTAAAAAAAAAATTCAACTAGTATTAATTTATTCTTCATAAATAATTATGATAACTTTTCATTGTTAAAATTTGGAGTGGTGAAAAGATAATGGGAAAATATTTTCCTTGAACACTTCAGGAATCATATATTTACACACGCCATCGAAAACTGTGTCAAGGTTCTCATAAATAAATAAATAAATAAATAAAAAAGAATATTATTCATATAATCGATGCGATTCATGTAAATCACATAACCTCGTAAAGTGCAAACTTGACTGACTTTGCCAACACGATATACAGGATATATCAGGATTGATATTTGTAAGAACAAGAGAGAGTGAGTCGAGGGCTCGAGAATCATTTATTATTCGCCTTCAGGCACCCTATCGTTAAGTGAAATAGCAGCACTTCAATTTCATGCAAATGCGAAATTGTACATACGATATACATCGTGAGATGTGGCGTTGATAGGCTCGTGTATCGGCAGGTTGTTGTGAATATTGTTGGTGGTGGAATTGGTTGTGTTGTTGTTGTCGGACTTGTCCACTCGCGTCGTTTTGGGATGAAAGAATGACAGTAATTTCTGAAAAAAAAAAAGAAAAATTATAAAAGCTCTTAAGGATTTAACTCGATAGTAGAATACTTAACAAAAATATATGTATACATAATATATTACACGATATAATAATTAAACTTCAGATATTTTTATGAAAGTAATATTTTACTTTGAATATTTTATATATTTTTGTGCACATACATGCATTTTATGCATTTTTGAATGTTAATATTTCCATAAACGTATGGATATAATCGCGATATAATAATAGTAATAATAATAATAATAATAATAATAATAACAAAAATACTTCTACATATTGTTGACTCGGTTATTTTGAAGTGACAAAAATTTATTTGTATTGAGTCAAAATAAGATGTAATTGCTACTTGAAATAATAATAATAATTTATAAAATATCTAATTTTTGAAAAGAATGTAGTACTTTTTTTTAAGCTATTCTCCTGTAAATTTAATTAGTTGAGATATATGTGTTCGATAAATCAATCGATTAATAAAAATTTTTTTTCTGAAATCTAACATTTCTGAATCTAACTATAATTTATGTTCTGAAATTTTCAATCGAATCAGAATCGAAACTTTTCCATCATCGCGTCGTAAAAAAAAGGAAAAAGGAAAAAGAACATGTTTTTCCACATCGGTCCATTCGCAACTTTCAAATTTATTTATCCAAGCTGGGACAAAGAAAGCCGGGTTTTCGTCGCAGTATTTTACAATCACCGAGTTTCTCGAGGGAAAGTGGGGTAACGGGGTGGCTGCAATAAATTCCACCAGTGGCCGTCGACGACAACGAGGATCAGGTCGGTGATTACGTTCCACTGCCCCGTTCCCGTGATCGTAATACAATATTCGCATGCAAACTCGTTATATATGTTGCAATCATTAATTGAAATAATTTAAAAAAAAAAATTATTCTTTTTTAAAGGAATTTAGATTATCTTCTGTCGATATGAAAAAAAAAACACTATTTTTTTGTGAATTGTTATTTTTCTTGATAAAAAAGTCCATATTTCACATTTATAAAAATAAAATAGTTCAGTTGATTTATTCTATTTAAAATCAAAAATATAAATGAAGAAATATTAATGATAAAAATAAGAGACATATACTTTTAAGTTGAAACATAAAAATATACCATACATGGTATAATACGTATAATAATTTACAAATCGTGAAATTTCGTGAATCATAATAAATCAATCATAAAATTATTAATTAGTCATCAAATTTCTTTTGCATAAAAATATACGTTTTAATGTCAAAATGAAATATGGAATACCGTTAGAAATTTATTTTCTCATTATCTCGGAAAGATAATAGTAACTATACATATATACACATTCATATAATTTTCTCTCTCTCTCTCTCTTTTAGAAAGAAATCATATTCGACCTTCGCCATAAAGTACATATTAAATAGTATTTAACGATCAATAAATCTCATATATACTACATAAAAAATAATGAACAAAAAAATAGTTTTTTTTTTCTTTCTTCTTATCCCTTCTTCTTTTTAGTTATTTATCAATAAAAATCACTAAATTTCCAAAAAAAAATCTAAGTCACTTAAATATTATCGTTGATGTAAAAATAGTAAATGATAATAATATAATAAAAAGAAAAACTATGAAAAAGTAACTAACATAACCTATGAAAATAAGAATGAACAAGCACGCAAAGCTAGACAGCAGCAAACGTTGGATTATTGACCCTTAACAACGAGTTTAACGACACCGCGAGAAGCAAGCTGACAATTATGTCTCCTTTTTCAGGCATTAAAACGTTTCGTTTGCGAAGCGTCGCCTTTCCGTATGGCCAAGGGCAGTCACCGTTCGCTTGTGCCGTTTGAATGATAATCAACTGTCTTTGTCTCGTTCGTTCTTCGCGCCATTACAATAGCGAATGGTGGGGATAGGGCACAGTCACGCGACCTACGGGTGCGTTTCCATTAATTCTCTGCGAACGTCCTCACGAGTCCTGAATTTCGCGTTCGCCTTAAGCAAAATCGACTAGTAAGTTCGTACTCTTTTCTCCAATTGCTTCTCGCCCGTGTTAAGAGTTCGTAAATCGCTCGCGATCTATCGAGCCTGAGAATCGAATTCGTTTCTTTGCACGCTCTGGCGAGCACAAGAACGTAGTCAAGGTGTTGCTTCATAAATATGTGAAAAAAAAGAAACATATGTGGGTTCAGAGTGATTTTATAATCTTGATTGATTTGCGAGCTCGAACGATATGATGGATCGTTCAATCGTGTTATGGAGATATTGACGAGGAATGGAGGTTAAATGAAATGGTAGTCATGTTTAGAGTGTTTCAATTTTGTTCTAATTTATTAATCGAGTTATTTATTTGTTTATTTTAATACTCGTACTTAAAAACTTAAAATAATTTGTAACTTTAATTGAAAAATAGTATTTTAATCGATAATAAAATATTATAATATAATTATATTGAAATAAGCAAATATTGAAAATCTCTTAATGAAAATTCTTCAAAAAAATAGTTTTGATTCGTATAAGAATTGCCATTTATAATTTTTATTTATAATTGGAAATCTGAAATTTATGAAAGTTGAGATTTTAAAAACATAATATATACAAATTATTGTATATATTAAAAATATATAGCAATTCATATAATATAAACGAGAATTAATTTCGTATTTGTCTTGCAATAAACTAAGATTAATAATCTTCTCTATTTTATTATGTTATAATAATTCACATTAAATTTATTCTATAAAATTTCGCCATAAATAAAATTACTATTTTTAATGTAATCGAATATCGAAATGTTAATTGCTTACATGAATGCAATAATTATCAAGAGTTTTATAAATTTGATTTGAGGTTATATTTCAATTATATGAAAAAATACCAAATATAGAGAATATTTGCCTATTTTTACTAGACACTTACTTTATATTTGATTTAGATTACTTTAAATTGATTAGATAGTAAGATAAAATGGATTTTATTTACTTTTCTTTATATTTACTCAAAATAATTTCTATCTCCTATGCATTATATATGGGTATATGTAATTAACAATACATATATAGATAGATATACAATTACTACGTATCAATTTTCAGATAATTTTCATAAAGAGTTCGTGGAAAGCATATTAATCGCACATGATTAAAGCAGTGAATATATTAATTACGAACGATATCGAGTCGAATCCATTATACTTTCAACTGAATTAAGTGAAAACAAGATATAAAAGTTCGAAAGTGCATCGTTTTTCATAAATCATAATTCAATATTCGTAGAAGAACGAGAAAGTTCCCTTCTTTTTCATTACATTGATCGCATCTTATAAACTTCTGTTGTTCGCAACTAGTTCATCGGTGCAACCTGTAATCGCAGGATCGTGTGTGCTCATTTGCCTTGAAGGAATACGTGCGCTACCAATTAAATCAGGCTAAACTGAAGTCGGTTCTAAGATAATATCAAAATGACTTCTCTGCGCATTAACTAGCTCGATGGACACGATGAATGAAGCATAAATCAAAGTGAAACGAAGAGAAATAGATTATCGGAAGTCGAAGACTGACTATTGATTTCTGGGGAGACCAGGAAGTTTATTCATGGAAGAACAAGAAGCTTCTTCTTCGTTTATGGTATTACTCATAGGATATTATAAACAGTTTATAACTTGCAAGCAATTAATCTTAATAATGTGTGGATATTGTATATATCATTATGCTTATTTAAACATAAGAAAAACTTTATTTTGGATTATTTCGATTATTATTTTAATTTTTACAAAAGAAATGCATATAGATGTTAATAATTTTTTTTTAGAATTTTTTAATATTTAGAATATTGAAAATGTTTAAGATGAACAAAATGAATTCCATAAAATTAATAAAAAAAATTGAATTAATAATAATGTTGAAATTTCATTATTAAAAAAATATCCACAATTAAAAGAAAAAAACAACATCTGCAATAAATTCTTTTTAAAAAATTGAAATAATCATGAAAATTCAATTCAAATTGATAATAATCTTAAAATTTCTAAATCAAAAACTAATTTATTTGTGAATTTTTTAAGAAACGTTTCTAAAACTATAAAAATTTATTCAGTTTCAGTTTATCCTTCAGTTCCACAAATATTTCATAGTAAATAATTCAACGTAACTCGCACAACATGCAATCTCGATCATATTTATGATCACGCGAGCGAATCGAAACGTAGAAATTATCATGTTCGTGGTATCGTATTGAAAGTCCAAAGAAAAGAAGAGAGCTCCTATTTCCAAGAGATAGTTCGTCGGTTAATCGAGCGTGCGCTCGAATTCAACTCGACATGACATAACGATTCGCCGCCAATTGATTAAACTTAACGACGATTAAGAGAAGGCAAAATGTTGACATAAATTTCTATTAAAGGGTCATGGGACCGTGTGTAACTGCTGTCGCCAAGAAGCATCCCTGTTGGATTATATTCACTTTAAGGTTTCAGGCCCGATCTTTTTTATGGTTTTTTAATATATTATGATATATACTTTACTTAGATCAAGTGATTCTCAATTTTCCTTGAATCACATTTTTCTTTATAATTTATGATTCTTATATAATGTAAGATAAATTTAATGAGATTAATAAAAAAAAAACATTTAAAAATGTAATTAATAAGTTACAATCAATAGACTGAGTTTTTTTAAAGAGAGAATCATTCTATATTTCTTTTCTTTATAAAAAATCAGTATTATATCAATAATAGGACAAAATATAATATTAATTGAAATAATAAATAAATGCTAAAATATGGTTTAAAATATTAAAAAATAACGGCAAAAAATGAACTTAAATAATCCTTAAGGAAGTCGAGACTCACTGGTTGGGAACCAGGAACTTGATCAAACATACTTGGAAACTGTAATTTTAATTTTTAGGATGTGTTTGAGTAATTTAAAGGAATTCGAGTTGCTCGATTAGACTTGTCCGCGTTTCCTCGTTTGTGTTAATAGGAAGTAACTAACCAGTGGTCATTGGCCCAAGAGTTACTGGTTTAGGTAAATTACGAGCTACTGCTACCAACATGAATAGTTGCTGATTTAAGTACTAGTCGTGTTTAATGAAATTTCATTTTTGTCATTGAATAAATGTTCAATTTATCGAAATATGTGATAAATATAATAATAATAATAATAATAATAATAATAAAATAAAATATCGGAAGTCTGAAAGGATCATTCCACGTGAAAGATAACTTTCAACGTTTTACCAATGAATTAATATTATAAATAAATAAAAACAGTTAACATTTTTCACGTTTTACAACGGTGCCACGCTCGATAGATCTCGTATAATGAAAAATTATTATCGGCAATCGCATAATTCGTGTCGCTGCATCGGCGAAATAAATAAAAGGCAGGCGTGTGGAATAACCAGAGAGACGAATAACCTCTTCCGACTATTGCTCGTATAAATTGCAATTCGTGTGCTCTCCTCTTCGTCCTCCTCCTACCTTCTTTTTTTCATCTCTCTTCCGTTTTCTCCTCGGTCCAGACCTTTGTCAGTCGGTACCATACAACTCGAAATGCATAAATAAATCGAGAAGGATTCACGGACGACAGCAGATACGAGCGACCAAATCCGCTTAAATTCGAAAATTAAAAGTATCAAAATATTTGTTTTCACCCGATAAGCAAGATTATCATATTTTAATTGAACATATTTTTTTCAAAATGAAATTGTTTCGGGAAATTAAAAAATACTTGATCTTGATTTTCCACAATAATATAATTTTTAAAAATTATTTTCTTATATATTATTTGTAATTAATATAAGCTATATAAATTATGAAAAATGTAGATACTTTTTTTACTATCTTCATATTTTTTGAGGATTGAAAAAAAAGAATTCATTTCTTCATAAATTATTGATAATGTATATAAAATATTGATATTGTTTATAATAATTCATCTTAATATTTAGCTATAATTTTCATTTTCTTCTCAAGGAACAAATAGAAAAGCACGTATCAAAGATGATACAACGGAAACGAGTCGAATATTATAGAAAGAAGTTTGGAGGAAGGAAAGACACGATTGCAAGCTCGGATTTTTCTCAAGGACGTTGCAAGTCGAACGATACCGGTGTGTTTCGATCTTCAAGAGATAGGTACTTACGTACATACGTACAATAATTCCCTATATCCAAGTTATGCATGCGGTTTACCTTGTGACATCTCTTGGCTGCAGCCACGCGCCTTTCTAATGCGAATCTCGAACACGACGTAACTGCCTCGACTTATCTATCTACAGGGTGTTCCAAACGTAATCTTTTAAATTTTTCGTGATAAATTTATTATTTCTTATCATACGATAATCTTATTAAATATGTTAACCTCTTTAAGATGAAAAATTAATTTGTATTTATTTTGAATTTTATGTTCTTCTTATATATTTGTTGATTAGATAGATGTGTTGTATTATATCTTTGAGGTTAGAAATTGTAGAGTTTGAACATGTAATTAAAATTATTAATAATAATATATTAATTTATAGTAAGGATAAATTATTTTTTAATACTTTGAGTTATCTATTAAAATCCAAGATTATGGTTTATTAATCGATTTTAATATTCCTTTAATATGATATTTATTAATGCTAAGATTGATAAATTATAGGTTGAATTTTATATTTCCTACAATCAGATGACTTAATTTATAAAATTTCTTTTGTTACCATTATAAAAAGAATTTATTGGTATTAATTAGTTGAAATATATCACTTGTAAAATATTAGCATAGCAATATTAACATGTATCTACTATTTTTGCACGAAGATAATATTAATTTATCATAATAATAACTTTTCTTTTATATTATTTTATAAATAATTTTATATTATAATAGAGATCTATCTAACTGCTATTACTATAAGTTTAATACTCCATAAATTTCACTTTCACAAATTATCAGATAATCTATAGTTCATAGCTTATATTATAAACTTAATATAAATTTATAAATTATCATTAATTAATTCAACAAAAGAAGCATCTCTATCTTATTTATCTTTTTGTTAATAAAAGTACACCAACGCAAAAAATTATAATCTTTACTCATGGAAAATTAACATATTCAAATGTTCTCTCACACATGTCGATAAGTGAAACACGGAAATCTTAGATTAGGAAAAAATCTCTCAAAAGAAATATGAAGAAACTGAATGCAATATATATCTTTTCTCGATGTAACAAAATCGGGGAATGATCTAAATATAGATTTTTGTACTTCATAAAACTAATGCTAATTGCAGAATTATTCAAGGATTCGAATCACACAACAGTTTGAAAGCAGAGACTTTGGTGCTGGCTTTCACCCTCGTTTGGTGAAACTTCTTTATAGAATGCTAATGAGATGTTAGAATTGAAATATTCTTCATTGATATTGAAATATATTAACATTCTAAATCTGATAATTCAATTCTCAATTATATTATAATAATTATATAAGAAAATATTTAGATATCTATTTTTCTAATGAAAAAAATAAGATTAAAACTATCCTTAATTCTATTTAGAATTCTGACAATGTATATTTTCTAATACTATATATTATTGCAGAAAATTATTTCTAAATTAAATCTAAATAATTTTAACCAATTAATTAAAAAAATAAATATTTTCCATACACTTTTTGACTTTAAAACAATTAAATATTAAACAAAATTACATAAATTTTTCGATTATTTTTATCATTTCTATCATTAAATATACAGTCAGGAAAAATAATTAACTTAAAAGAACAACAGTATGCATCCTAATCGACCATAAAAGCCTTTTAAATTCTTTCAACCTATTCATCGCGTGAAAGTGAAATAAGTAAATAAAGAAAAGAAAAAGTTATTTCTCGAACACCAGATAGGTGTATACCCACGTAGTTACGTGGGATTAGAGACACGTGGGCGTGCAAGGTATCTCGGAAGCGTATTAGAAACGTCACCTAGCTAAGAGCAGAGGCTCATTAACCTGTGTGCACCACACAGTTGGCCAGGTGGGACGATATGCGGTAATTAGAAAAATAACACGATCACATGCATCAAGTATGAACGCATATGTTTCGACATATTGTATTAATCCTCTCTTTTTTTTTTTCTTGTGATCCTATGAACTCTTGCCAGATGCCAGAGAAAATTTGAAATGATAGAAAATGTTAATATTTCCATAAGGCAAAAATTGGATAAATATTATTTGAAATAAGTTGAAGCAATCATCAATCCGTTTTTTTTTTTTTTCATCCTATGAACTTTTAGGAAATGTCAGAGAGAATATGAAATGATAGAAAATTTAAATATTTCCATAAGATAAAACAAATAGATATAAACAAGAAAAATTGAAATATTTTTATAAGCAAATATTATTTGAGAATATTGTTTTATTTAATATTTTACTGTTTACTATTTATCGATTTTGATACAAATAAAATATTTATTTTCCGTTTAAATGAAACGCAATTCAATAATTGAAAATGATTATATACTTACTATTTTTCATTTTTTTATTCCTTGCACAGGAAAATAGATAGAATTTTTATATACGTTATTAAAAAATAATTTGATTTTAATATTTATATTTAAAATACTAACTTCTTTATTAAAAAGTTAAATTAAAAATACAATTTAAAGGGAAAATTCATTTGTAAAATCTCGAATGTTGCTCGAAGAAATAAAAAATGTTTATTTCTATTCACTTATTTCAGAGATCTATTTTTCTACAGTCTTGTTTTTTGAAACTTATTCACTTCTTGCGTAATATTGTGTATATTTTTAAATAAAAAAAAAAAAAAAAAAAAAACGCAATACCGTGTCAAGTTATAAAAGACTTTTCATTGAGAGACCGATTCTTTTTCTAGAAAACTATTCAAGTGGGCGTCACTAGCTATTCACTTTTATAACATCCTATGAGAAATATTATATTTTATATATAGAATAATTCTCACTGGTAAGAAGCTAGAGTTGAAATTAAATGAAATATTTATGCAAATCTATCTGTGTTCATTGAATCGAAACTATAAACTTTAATCGCGTAACTTCATAAAATAAAATAAGATGTTAACAATATGCGAAACGAATGGATATCCTATTGAAATGGATTTGAAAGGTGTTAAATTGAAATTTCATTTGTTCGTGAGGATATTTAAATTTTATAAAAGTATTTGTTAATAAATTACAGACATTAAATGAATATTAAAATAATAATCAAAATATATTTTGATTTAATTATTTGAAGCAAATAAAAAAATTAAATCGAACTTCGTTTAATATTATATATATTATATATAGGCTAAATATTTATGTAATTCTTAGTGCAAATAATTTTTTAAAAATCGAATTAAATTATACAAATATAAAATAAGAAATTTATCATATACTAATACGAATAATAAAAGACCTAGATTTTTCCTTATATCTCAAAATCAATGAACCATTCCCCTCATCATGATGGATGACAAGCAAGATAAATTATATCATAATACCTAACATCGATCACCTTATTTAGCACATAGCATTAAACTACGAATGACACAAATTTTATATCAATTAATTACAAGAGACTTTACATCGATATAAATTAGCAATTTTATCGAACGA